TTTTTGTACAACTTGAGAGGGTCTTCTTCGCACATCATCAGGCTTAAAGCCCTTACCCAAGGAACACGTCCATGAGATTTCCGCATGGCTTAGTCAATTGCCAGCGATTTGCTTTTTCTGTAAATAAATTTCGGAAAAAACATCAATTTTACGAGCCTACCGTTCAAACGCTATTTGACCAATCTTAATGCAAATACAATTTTGTACAACTTGAGAGGGTCTTCTTTGCACATGAAAAGGCCTAAAGCCCTAACCCAAGTAATATGTCCAGGAGATTTCCGCGTGGCTTGGTCATTTTTTGCATCGGACATTTGTTCTTTCCCTATATAAATTTCGGAAAAAACGAGTCTACCGTTCAAAAACCATATGACTCATTTCAATGCAAATACGATTTTGTACAATGTTGGAGGATTTTCCTTACATATTTTAAGCCTTAAAGCTCTAACCCAAACAACATTTCCAGAAGATTTCCGCATGGCTAGGTCATTTTTTGGACCGGCGATTTGTTCTTTCCCTATATAAATTCACGAGCCTACCGTTCAAAAATCATTTGACCAATTCCGATGCAAATTCGATTTTGTACAACTTGAGATAGTCTTTTTTACATATTTTTAAGCTTAAAGCCCTAACCCAAACAACATTTCCAGGAGATTTCCGCATGGCTAGGTCATTCTCCGGCAATTTGTTCTTTCTGTATATAAAGTGTATAACTTTACGGTAAAGAAACACAATCATTTCATCATTTTTTGTTAACATAAAAAAATTAAAAATGTTACAAAACAACAATTTTTAACCAAAATTAGGTGAAAGACCACATGTTAACATGGAAAAACTAGATTTTGGGTAATTCCAAAGTTGTTCATCATTTTTGTATTAACCCTTTACCTCATATATACGCGAAACAACGCACTTTCAACCCCCCCCCCCCCTCTTTCAGGCCTCAAATAGAGAAAAAATATCCTATTTGGGGCCAAAACACATGTTTTCGTTTGAGAAATGTTGCTAAAAAAGTGAGCACTTTTTCGGCGCGCCCCTTATCCAAAAGATACATCAGGGAGTTGCCAGAAGGGGGATGTGCCCCCTTATGTTTTTAGGGTTTGAAGGGGGCGGTAGTCCCCCTCATCGCCAAAATATTTTGGACTTGTGAGAGGCTAAAAATAACCCCAGGTCGATCATAAGGTAACGTGTAACCAACGCTGAAAAGCCTTTGACTCTCTCTCAATCCCTTGAGAAGTTGCAGCACTTTGAAATAAATTTTGATGGAAAAAAATCAAGGCAAAATAGTGATTTTTGGCAATTTTGAGATGTCCCCTCGTTGCCATGGTAACAGGAAATTTAAGACTGAGCATGTCGTTACAAAGGCAATGGTCCAGTCAACATATGTGCCAAATTTGATAAGTATTGAAGCATTTTTCATAGTTTCATAGCAGTTTGAACTTATAACAGGAGGCTTTTTAATGAAAACGGCCATTTTTCACAATATGCTCATGAGGGAAAGGGTTCAAGGCCTAAAGCCCTAACCAAATAGACAAATAAAGAGTCCCTTAAGAAAGCACAACACGACAAGATTGAAAATGTAAGCAGGCTCGGTTTGATAAAGCCTGTTCATGGACGGTACTGGAAAGTGCAAGTGACCGTCCATGCCCCCTAGCACTGGCTTGAGCAGAATTCAACATTTAAACACGAAAATGGTGAAAGTTTGAATTTAGAGACATCCACAGATGTGTTCATACGGCGATTATCATAGAACCTTCAATGTGACATAGTAGTGCCATTCCATGAAAAGGGGCGTATGGTCCCCAAGTAAAAGAATGCGTGTGCCCTAAACGAGAAAACAATGGGCGGAACTAAATAAAATGAAATTTTGAAAGGAGATCTGAGGTTATGAAGCCTGCATATCACAGACAAGACGCCAAAAGACAAATTTTAAAAGCAGGCAACATATAAGGGTGATTATACAGTATTCAAGTAGGAATACTGGAACCATCTAAGTTGAAAAAAGGCCAAATAGAAGAAACTAAAAAAAATGTGTACACAACAATAACTTCCAAGCAATATGTCCGAGAGATTTCCGCATGGCTATGTGATTTTTGTACCGGCGATTTGTTCTTTCTGTATATAAAATGTATAAAGTTTCTATGACCGGCTAATCGTTCTTTCCTTCCTTGGACCTCAACACTATGGTGACAAGTCCCTACTGAAGCGGAGATCTATTTGATTTGAATGATCACTAAGCAGTGGTGAGACAATAGACAAAGAAGTTAAAAAAGCAGTAATATCTAAACAATTAATTTGGAGTCTTGTAAACAGCAATATAAGATTGAAAAGCCTAGCCAAAGCAAAATTAACGAGATATTTCCGCGTAGTATTTCGTATTTTAGCCCGGCGATTTTTAATTTCTGTGTAGAAAGTGTATGCATTTTCGTTAAAAAAAAACACACAATATTCTTAGGCGAACTGCTTACACACAATATGTCCCATATCATTTCAGATTCGATTTTGTACAAATTCGGATGATCTACTTTACAGAAATATAACACTTGAAGGTCAAACCAAAGAAATACATCCGTGAGTTTTCCGCATTGCATTGTTGTTTTTGTGACCGGCGTTTTGTTCTTTCTGTATATAATATATATAAGTGCGTAAATTTACGTAAAAACACACCCTTTCTAAGTCCGAAAAGTTAAACATCATTTGTCTGATTGCGTTGCCCATTCAATTTTGTACAAATTTGAAGGGTCTACTTTACAGAAATATAAAACTCAAAGCTCTAGCCTAAGAAAAGCATCCGTGAGCTCCCCGCGTGGCATGGTCGTTTTCATGACCGACTATTTGTTCTTTCTGTAAATGAAGTGTATACATTTTTGGAAATAAGGACACTATCTTCGAGCCAACTGTTTAAACACCATTTGTCTGACTCCGTTGCAGATCGTATAATTTTGGAGAGTCTTCTTTACAGCAATAAAAGGCCAAAAACTAAAACCCATTTAACCCATGCAAAATGGCATGGAGATTTCCGCGTGTCATGATCTTTTTGGGCCGGCAATTTGTTCTCTCATCTCAATATAGCGTATATAAACTAACTCGTAAAAAACACAATTACAGATTCCATTACGGATTTTTTTCTTCTATTCAAAGAATTTGGTCTTGATATTTCCGCGTGGCATGGTCGTCTTTTGCACTGGCAATTTGTTAAATTTACATATAATGTCTAAATTGTTTTGTAAAAACACTATTTTCTGGGGCAAACCTTTCAAACATCATTTTGTGATTCTGTTCCAGATTTCAAAGGATATAACATCTGAGACTCTAATTTACAACAATATAAGGCAAAGGTCTGAGCCAATGTTTAAAGTCTAGAGATATCAGTATGGCATGCTTTTTTTTACAGGCGATTTGTTGTCGGTTTTTTTTTTCTTTTATATAAGTGAAAACAATTTTGTTTAAAAAAAACACCATAATCTGCGGCTGGCCGTTCGAACACCATGTGTGGGATTCCTTTTCGGGTTGGAAATTATATTAATTTGGAGGGTTTTTCTTTATTTATTTTTCTTTTGTACAGCAATATAAGGCACACGAAATAAGGCCTTGAGATTTGGTCACGGAATAAGACCTTGAGATATGGCACAAGGGCGATTCCGTACCAAAACATTTCTGAAAGATTTTCGACCGTGAGACCACATACACGCATCAAGGCTATTTAAGACGGAATGGGTCTGAACGACTAGTTAACGTATTATATGATTCCCCTTCCCATACGAGAAAGGAAAAAGAACTTTCCAGCCATTTAACAAAGGACAGGCTTTACATGTATATGACATTTCATTATTGTAGTTAATAAGGAGGCTAATATCCACAGATTTGTCTCGAATTTGTATATATATACACCTACAGCAGCGCAAGCCAAGCGGGGATCATTTTCGTCCTTTAAAACTCGCTCATATATAATTTCTCAAAATATAGAGTTATCATTTTATATATATAATAGAATTGTTGTTTTTCTGCAAAGCATGAACGTTGCAAAAACGTTGTAAATGCAATAATGTGGACGATATATTTCACATTTTGTAAATGTATTTATTTATTTTTTTTTTCAAAATTACGCTTTTAATTTCTTCATTGACTCCACGTATCCTTCTAGAAAGAGATTGATTGCAAAAAACAAAAAATATTAAACTTAAGAGCCAACAATGCAGACCCTTATCCTTTACCTAATGAATTTATGACACTTTGTGACGTTTTCAAGCTTCCAGATATGGAAATGTACATTATCAACCTTGAGCTATCAAAAAAGAAATTCAAAACGTTAGTAAGCAAACAGAGCAGAGCCTGATCAGACTACACGGGTGATCAACCTGGATTGGCTCTATACTGGTTTATACAGTTCTGTTCTTGCATGGTAAATGGTGAAATTTGCTGTTGTCGCATTTACATCATTATTTCTCATCAAACGCGACGGACTGATGATAATCTAATTATTGCTGGCTGTGTGAATTAAAGCACCTCCATGGGGAAAATCGTGGTTTCCTTGAACAAGAACATTTATACTCATAGGAGATTGGACTTAGAACCCACAATCAAGCAAGGTAAAAATTAAATTATACAGTTATTTTTCTGCATTATACAGCATAAACGTTTATGTTATTATAGCATAATCTTTTAAACGTTCATTTGTAATATTTTCCAAAGGTAAAAGAGTTATCAATGCGATAGGTGCATCGAAAACTGGTTATGTTATTTAAATCAAACAAATGCGATATAGCATTTCAAGAAACTATAAAGAACAATTCGGTATATATGCACCCAACAGTGAATGATACAACCGATCAGATGACTTGCATAAACTGAACATTTATTGTTATAACTCTAAAAAGCGAGCAGTGTAGCAGATAGTCTGAGGGTATAGTGTGCTAGTTGTGTAAATTCGATTACCGCCCGCAGGGTTAGAGTAAATACGGAGTTATCGTTTTTCGTTTTTCCATACATAATGCAGAAACTCGCATAATATAATTTTATTGAACTTTCAACAAACACAGAATTGAATCTCCATTCGTACTAGTATTAAGGAACCGGAAACGCTACGTGGGCATGTTATAAACAAAATGGAAGTAAAATTAATGTTACGTTTCCGCCATATGACCATATGACGTCATGCGATTAAACCTCGGTTTCAAACATATGACAATAAAAAAAGTCAAACAAAAATATAAATTTACGAAAAAAAATGCAAATTCAACGTCATGTAAAAATATTTCGAAAACGACTACTTCATCTGCGTGTACACTTTCCTTGGTGTGATTTGTTTTGTAATCAATGTAATTTGATAAAACTTTAAACGAACTGTCCTCTGTATATATACATGTATATAGGTCATATGACAATTTTCCAGCTTTACTGGTGTATTATTCCAGGCATGATTTGAATAGAACAGTGAACGTTCGTAAGCTGGCTTGCTTATTCACATAAAAGTGTCAAATTCCCTGCAGCAATGAGATTAACCATAGTTTGCAGCAGATGCTTACTACTTACTGCCCGAGCTATAATTTGGAGATAGTGTGGTAGAAAATTATTTTCTTTCGATCCATTATGTTGGTTTGAAAAAGAAGATAGTTTTGTTAAAAATACTTCATGTTTTGATCAGAAACTTGTATTTTGCTAGGACATAAAGCGTCAGGTCTGATCCATTCTACCAATACCAATAAAGCCAAATACAGGTAAAATGTCTAAAGATCTCTTACCATACTTTTAGTGTATTCTTATTTAAACTATATATTGTTTCAACGGTAACGACATATCATTATGTAAGCAACGAAATATTTCTGACTGCAGTTGTGCACAATACCTATTATTTTCTAGTCGTAATGGTACCAGGCATTAAATATACTAAATTTCAGTAAACTGTCATTTTCATATAAAGACGTTACTGGTTTATGTGAACAGTATTTTATTCATAGCTCTTTATAATGTTGATGAATTCTTTTTCCTTAAAAGGCTTATTCTTTCCTAGAACTTTTATCTTTATATCTCGACGGCTTTTTTATTTCCTATGTACTGTTATATTGTCCAAAAATATTACTCAGTAACCAGCTATCTAAACTATCTTTTATTTGTGTTACCTTCTTGCAATAAGAAAAGTTTTACTGATTAGTATTCTGTAAGATATTCATAATAGTTCTTTGTTTATATTTTGCTACCTATAATTAAAACTTTAACAATCAGTGCTACTTGCTACAAGTGACGCGCATGTTACATGCTCCAAAATTAGTATTAAATAATTATGAAACTCTCATGTGTCCTTCCTAAACAAATATTCTATTTCTGATACATAGTGTGTATTCAAAGTTATTTTAAATGTACCGAGGTATATTTACGACTAGCCCAAGACATTATAGGGAAATAAAATAATCCTTCAAAATACCACACGAAGATATCATTGACAGCAAGTACTTGATTTATAAAGAAGTGAAATATCCTATTTCTGACAGATCTTTTCAAATTTCCTTGTGAAAGGGAAATTAATTAACATGCGATACATACCACATGAAACGTGAGTCAAGACAGGTTTTAAAAATCAGATATTTACACAAATCCTTACTTTTATCGTCATATTGATAACACTTGATAAAAATTTCAACCGAAACATTTTGTTCAAGGAAAGTTTATATTCCCCCATTTTATCTAAGTGCGTGTTGATACAGTTGGAGTCTTGTCTTCTATATTGCTGTAATTACGAGTAGACCGCGGGTTGATGCTTCTTGCTTCCCCGGCCCAAGGATCCGACTCCCTGTAAAGTCCAACGCGGCTTCGCTTTTTCCTTATTGTTATAAATATTATCGTACCAATCAAAGCACAAGCGAGGGCAGCCGAAATAGATATGGCAGCAATACCGCCACCAGAAAGGCCCTTCTCCGCCCTTTTGCTGTCTGAATTATACTGAGCTGTACCAATAGGCGCTTCAGTACTTGCGTGGAACAAACCATGCTGCGCCATAAATTTTGGAACCATTACATCAGCGTCTTCAATATTTGTCCAAAGCGCTCCGTCACTGCTTACAACGACACTCTCAGAATCTATCATAGTGAAGCCATCTTTTGGGGCGTCCATGAACGGCGGTCTCTGAACCTTTGGCAGGCCCTGTGCAGAGAGAGCTCCTGTCTTTATACAATAGTTGATACTACATCCCTCATCTACAATCGCCAAATGTTGACTGTAACCTTTAGGACAAGAATGCGGATATGACGTCATTCCTTGGTCTTTCATATACGTCATCATCATACTTGTTCTACCGCTACTTTGAAGCAGATCACTTTGCTCTTTCAATGCCAATGGGTTTCCCGCTTTGCAGCTATAAAACCCGGCAAATGGGAGGGAGTATCGATATCCTAACTCATAATCATCACTTACACAAATAGTTAGAGAATCAAGAAGTTTAAGGGGATAGAATTCTGGAGGGCAACTCATACTTTGTGTAAGTACATTTGCCATTTTAGACGTGAACAGTCCTCCAAAAAGAAAGCCGCTGTTCGCTTCAACTTGTACAGTTGCGGCGCACCAGAATGCAGAATAACTGGCATAGGCTCTGTCAGTTACAGTCTTGCAGCAATGGCAAAACCACCAGCATCTATGGCATGATCTGCGTCGTCGTTGAGAGTGTTTTGTCCCTTCTTTAAGAGGAACTGACTCATAACCATCCGGACAGCTGAAATCACCTGTCTGTGGGTTTTTCTGTGTTATTCCCGAACAAAGGTTAGTATAGCCACCACCTGTACAAATCTGATAGACACCACCAAAGGTGAAATTCGTTTGAGATGCAACACAGGTGCCATCTTCAACATTGGCCTGGAAACTAAAGTTTGGAGACTCTTCGTTCGTGCAGCCTCTATGAATGTTGTGCCCGTAGTACATATGTACTGCGTCTTTGACGTAATCATATACGTCATAAACGGTTGACTCTGGTACATTGGGAAGATTGACGTGATTTATTTGGTAATATATAGGATCTCCGCTTCTATCGAGGGCTACCATGTCGTTATATATGGAACTTGACCAGTTGTTTGCGGTGAAATTATTTGGTCTGAAAAGTACATAGATATATATACGTGTGCATGTTAACATTTTCTAAAAACAATTTATTTCAACTCTTAACTTATCCGATATATAACCGGATTCTAATTTTGCATACATGTTTTGTGAATATGGTTTTTAATATTCATCCAGAATTAAATTACGATGGTTCGATGGAGAAAACTTGCATGTACGATGAATAAAAACGTGATGATGATATGATGAAATTACAATGGTACGATGGTGAAATGACAATGGTACGAAACCACTATGGTACGATTAAGCCACGATGAAGTTTTTACAATCGCGTTTTTACCATTTTGGCATCGTGCATCGCAGGCCATGCGTTTAATAAAAACACAATTGTCTAAAACGATCGCTATGTACATATATTTTTAAGAAAAGGAAATAACTCATAATTACTGAACCTGATTTATCTAAACTTAATTGTTAATGTTTTGCAGAAAGAATAGATACCTGAATACTGGACCACCAAATGTCATAATCTTTGAGGATGTTCGTTGTTTGTGGTATTCGTCTATCATTGTTTTCGAAGTTGATTTGGAATAGCTGACCCCAAAGTCGAATATTCCAAAGAAACTGGCACTTGCCGATGCTAGGATCTGGTGCTTCTGAGATTCGTATTTCTTTACAAATGTAGCGGTAACGTGGTCTAGCTGATAAAATAGCATTAGTGTTGTTAAGCTTTAAATTAATGGATAGTTTAATGACGATGAAGTGAGGAGTTTAAGGATGAGTTGATAACAAAGATCAAGATGAAATATTCGAAACAGATGATGCTAAGGATGATAACGACTATGGCGATTATGTTAAGGGTGAATATATATTTTAAGTTGGGACTAGAAGTTTTTGAGACATTTACTAGTATTTCTATTTCTATTGCATGAACCTTTATAGCAATTTACTCTTTCACTGTAATTTACAATGTATTAACATGCGACCTGTGTGTGCCTTGTTCTAATTTACGTGTATCGGCGAATCCCAAAAACATGCAAAACACTACAAATAACGACAAAATGATGTGTTTTCATTATTTAATATGTTCATTGACGCTTTTAATCATGTCGCTTCGACACTTAAAAAGACAAAAAACTCATCGCACCAATCTGCTACCAATGTATCCAACAAAAGAAAAACTTGTTTGTTTTACAAGTCACTTAAAAAGTATATAATTAAGATAAACAAAATCTTTTCAGTACATACTTGAACTAAAGCCGCTCCAACATCTATGCTAGTTATCACGTGGGTTCCAAAGTCTCGTACTAAAAGTTGACTCTCGTAACGGGCGATATCTGTGCGGTTCAGCGTTATATGAGCAGCTATTTTTCGCAGACGAGCCCGGAACACCTCGTTGACTTTGGTATCAGGTTCGAGCTTTGCAGTGTATTGTACATAACGGGCCTGTATAAAAATAAATTTTAAAGAAAACAACACCATATTAGCTGGGTCTTAAGGGCACAATCTTAACAAACCTAGAAGAAAGTTCCAGAGTCACTGGCAAGGCAATATATTTGTTACGTTAAAGATTTGGTGAATAATCATGTGTATAAATACCATTTGTCCTAAAATATGAAGATGGAGAAAATAAAACTTATTTTCTAAATATAAGTTTGTGTTAGGAGGAAAATATAGTGACACTAGTGCAGGGTGGTTGATCATGGAATATTTGTTTAAGGTAACATTGGGTCATCGCTAATTGATTTTTCTATTTTTTTCGTTTTGTCTTTCAATACAAAATGGTTTACAACTTTCTATTGTAGCTCTTTTACTTCGGTCGTTAGGCTTGCAAAAAAATTTTCTATGCGGCAATAAATGTGTTAAATAACGTTTGAATAATGCTTATAAAGCGTGTTAAATGTTTTCGGCACCGAATATTCTTTAATAGCATATAATTTAACATAAAAGTAGCAAAACGTAGACAAAGTGGTATTATAACTTCTATACAAAATACATTATGATATAAAAACAAACATATTCTGGCTGAGTTTCACCATTTTTTACAATTTTTACAGTTTTACAATTTCTCTAAGTTACGTAGTGTAAACAGTAGGTGTTCATTATATATTGCGATAACTTAAGAAAATGATATAAATTCGGAGTGAGTTGTTGTTGAAAAATCCACGGTTTATCGTTCAAATGCTCAGGAATATAATCACGAAGGTCGATATCAAATTGAAAGAGTTGTAGATAACATGACCCGACTATTTAAAGTTAAAAGTTAAAATGTCAATAATGAAAAAAAAGTCCATTTAAAAGTCATTCATGTGTATCAACGTGAAATTATACGTTTATGTTATAAAAGGGGATCATTCTATATCCTAAATATATCAGAGTAATGATCCATGCCATTTGAAGTTCAGAGATAAACAATGAGTCCATAGGACACCTATGCCCTCAGTTCTTTTGCCTTTTACAGCAACATTTTAACTTGTTTTGCTTATTTATAAGTTGCACAATGCTATAACTGAGGCAACTCTAGTCATTAGTTTGGTAAGGATTTCGCATCGAGTGTCACTGTTACAATCATCACTGGATATTGGTAATGTCCTACTATGTAACATAAACCACGGAAAAAAATGATGTTATGACATTAACTCTTATTAACAGAATGACCTAAAAATCAGTAAGGATCATCTACTGTTCATGTGCATTGTCCTTGCCATGTGACAAAAGAGTAATTAATAAACTTTTGAAAAATAGAAATGGTTGCATTTTTGAGGTTTAATGGGCCTAAAAGAAAAGCAAATAGAGGAAAAAAGGAATCTAGTTTTTATTGCCATTTTTACTTACCTGAACTCTAGTTGTCATGGATTTATCAAAATGTTGCTTGGATTTCACGCTCTCATATTCGTTGGAATACTTTCCGCTGACACTCACTTTACCAAGGTGAAGTCCCGCGTGAATATTTACCCCTTTTGATAAGGTACTTGTGAAGTTGTCCCAATGTGTGATCAATTCCGCATACGTTTCTACCTTACTGCTTTTAATCGGGATGGTGGAAATTCCGTCGGGAATGAGAAATTTGCCGTCTTCTGTCGTTCTGCATTGCGAATAGCTATAGTTTGATATTATGCCCATTTCTCGATTTCGTAGATTATCCCAACCTCTGCCGGGGAGCACCTCAAACCGCAACACTCGATCATTTTTATGCAAAGTGCATTTCCGTGGATCACCGTCGGGATACGTAACAGGATTTTCCGGCGGCGCTGTTAAATGATCGTCTCCTAATACTAAGTACACTGCGAGGACAAGTTGTAACACTAAATACATGCATTCCATATTTTCTTTATTTTGTCTTGGTTTATATCAATCGATACTAAGGTGCTCAACAATTTGCCCAAGTGGCCAAATGGGCTCCAAGAATACGCTTTATATACAATCCTGTCGGATGCGTCAACGTAGCGGAATATAATTCAGTAAAGTGAGGAAAATAATCGACCGTTATCTATTTGATAATATGAGCGAATTAAAGAAAATGGGATTTTGGTTTAACTTTACCCATTTTTTATTCGCTAATGTAAATTTCATTTAAAAACAGAAAGCTAGGCCTATTTCTATGCTTGTTAAGTTTATGTTAAATAAGGGTCCATCCGCCGGCCATTACTCAAAAAGCAGCTTTCGCTGTCAAGTACGGACCCCCAACATGTCGCCAGTTGTGTCCTTAATGGATTGATTTTGGAGCACAAGTGATGATAATTTACCTCCATGTAATTTCCACAGAATATCAACCGAAAACATTAATTATGAATCAAGAATTAGTCAAAATGCACGGCGGTTAATAAGAACCTGAATGTACAGTAACCTGGGACAATATAAAAACGAAGTAGCCCTGAAAAGGGCTGATATGCCATCAAGGGGGGGGGCTGCCATTCAAACCGTCTAACCCTACTAGGGACAAACGCACCCTAGTACCCTTCCTCCACGTCTCTGATTCATTTGTAGGGCCCCTCCCTCGGCTATAGTCAGGACACCAGAAACAAACGTAATACGAACTTAGTTGTGCCAACTTAAACGTAACCCGGAGTATGCAAACATTGTAAATCATTTTGCTTCATGTTTGATGTTTTGGTAATTTGTTTGCCAATCTATACACAGGCGAACGAAACAATTCTAACTAATGGTAGGAGAGTTGTTGAATTGTTATAGATGAAATATATTTAATTGATCCAGCCGAACTATTAACTGTTCGTCCTTTCCAAGAGAATTAAAACAAACTATTTAACACTCGCGCATTCTCGCTTTCTTGATGATTAAGGGACTTCTGGTGGTATAGGTGTGTGTGGCAATAACTCCTTGTTCAACGGCATACATATTTTATAAATTGTCACGAAGGCTGAGTCAAAACTGTATAAAAAACAACAACAGAATGTATCAAATGATGAATTTCGATCTGAACAATTAATTCTTTGTGAACTTTTATATATTTAATTCACCAAGATTTTCAAGAATAATCATTTTTATTGTTAAAAATAATTAAAAATTGAAAAGCATGCAAAACTTAAATTGGACGAACGTCACTTTCTAATAGGTCAATTAAGAAAGCGTCCGGTTGACATGGTCTAGTTTTGTTCCTTGTCATGCAGAAGGATTTTTAAAATGTAAATCACGAAAACTCCAAATGTTTCCCAGTCTTATGAAAACTATAATGCATAAGGTAGTGATGTTGATACTGAAATACGTTATTCGTAATTTAGATAATCTTTTGTATAACATAGAAAGCCTAGGGTCGGAGAGCTATTTTAACCGAAACTGTAATTAAAGTCAGACTTCTTGACAATTCGTAAAATGTATGAGTTGAACAAGGAGTTATTGCCACACACACTTTGATGTCGGACTCTACCACCAAAGCCCTTTAACCATCAAGAAAGCCCAAGTGCGCGAGTGTTAAATGATTTGTTTTAATTCGTTTGGAAATTGTAAAACGAAATAATACTAGTAGTTAATGATTGAAATAGATGCCCCATTCGCTTTACAATTTTAAATGATTCTTAGTTCACAGGTGCGGCTTAAGGTAGGGCACAGGTTCTGACACCTCCGTGTCCTTCTTAAGTGTGTCTCTTGTAAAGATCGTCCCAGATAAAGAACGCATTTTAAAAGAACTGTCATCCAAGAACAACAAATCATTTAAATAAATAATACAGATTTTATTTTATTTCGATTATGCAGTGAGCTAAAGGTTAACAGACATACTTTAATACCTCTTCTTCAAACTAACCAGTACTTATTCTAAGTATTAAAGGCTTCATGCATTAGAAACCAACAGCTTTCCTATGACAGGGTTCGAACCCATGCGGGCAGAAATTCACAGAATATTATAACCGACATTTAACCACTCGGCCCGCACGCCGTTACATTAATTTAATAAAGAACTATTACTTTTTATTGTTCACTGTCTGCTAGTAAAGACAACATTTTCATTTTCATGGAGTGGTCTTGAAAGTCAAGGTTGACTGTAGCCTGGGTTCCAGTCTGTCGATTTTTTTATGTTTCTGTTTGGCAAATCGACACCATTTCCTCATTGCATTTAAATTCCGCCAATCAAGCGTCAAATTAAAATGGATTAGAGCTATACAATTTTTTGGTGTTATAATCAAAAAATATTTTATCATTCTTTGTTTTCCTTATTTGCTAATTTCTTTCTTTTATATACCTAGGTAATTGCCTTTTGTTTACTTTGCTTTGTTTGGTTTTAGTTTAGTTTTTACTTGTCCAAACGAAAATGCTAAAAGACGATCAAATAGTATTTCTTACAACTGCATAAAAACATTTATTCTCTAAGTGTATCCAAAAATTTTGAAAGCCATAAAAATATACAATTTTCATGCCAACAGTTAAACAACTTTTGTGTTATTATTCTATTACAGATTAGTCCATGCTTTACTTTGGTGGTTCTTCATTACAGCAATATAAGGCACAAAAGCTCTAACCTAAGGGAAGTGGCATGAGAAACCCGCATTGAATTGTTGTTTTCTTAAATCGACAGTTTGTTCTTTCTGTATATAATATGCATCAATTTTCGTAAATTAAAAACGAAATTCTTGAGCTTTTCGTTATAATTTGACCATTTTGTCTGATTCTGTTGCAGATTTGCCCTGCATTTGTTCGAACATTTTTCTCTACAGCAATACATTTGTAAAAGGTCCAATGCTCTTGGCTCGAAAGGCCGTATGAAATGTTTTTTGTTTGTTTTTTGTTTGTTTTTTTTTTGTTTTTGTTTTTTGGATCGGCCATTTTTTTCTTCCTGTGTATAAAGTGTATCAATGTTGTAGGGCTCAAATTCTAACTGTGCGACGATTTCTTCTCTAAGGATATTACATCCAAGACTTTTCGAGAGAGAAAAAACACACCCTTTTCTATAGGCAAAATTTTGAAATTAATTCGGCTGATTCGGTTGCGGATTAGCCATGTAATATTTTTAATTTGTTAGCAATTTCGTGTCTATATTTCTTGATTTTACCAGTGAAAAGAAATTGAAACAAGTTAGCTGAAATGTTAACGAAAATTAGACGATGTTGAGAGCGTAGGTTTGTAGCTTTGACCTTACAGGGGTCAATATTAATTGGGGACATTTGATTTTATATAGACTCATATAGAAAAACATATTTAAATCTTATTGTGTAAAACTACAAATCCCATGGTTTAGGTATTTGGCGTGTTGCATCAATTTTTAGATACCGTCAGATCAAATTGGTCTTGCACCGGGAGTGAGTCTCTTTCTTTATGTAGACAAAGGTATAGGTAGACATATCTTAATTTCTTGATGATAACTACAATGTCTCTATATTTGGCATAAAGCCTTGCTTAGTAGACGTCTATAAAAGGTTTCGGAATCTTGTACCTAGGGTAAAAATGCCCCTTGTAATTGTCTTCGTGTAATATAGAATCACAGGGATAATTAAGATAAAACATTGTTCAGATAAGTTTCTTGATTAGGTATCTTCCCTAAATGAAAGATTTTTGTTGTATTTTTTACTCAAAAAAATTTACATTCGAGCGTATATTGTCCCGCCCTTGTAGTACTCTTGTTGGCAATGACCTTGGTCAGTTTGAAGATTAGGGATTATGCATCTCTTACCATACGTTATTGCTGTTTGCAGTTACATTAATTTTTGATGATACGACAGTGCCTTTTGACTTCCTAGGAATTCTTACATAGCTAAAAAAAATACAAAACACATAAAAGGTATACGGACAAGTAGAAAGGTACAGCTCGAAAATGTATTGTATATTTTGAAATAAGAATATTAACAACTACTGAGTTTTCAATTTTTATTGTTTCTTCCAGTACAACAGGTTTGGCGCAGGACCGGAAATATTTAAAGACTTTAAATGAACTCCGCTGATGTTTTCTTTTACATGACGTGGCTAAGTAATAGTTTTCCGAGTTAACCATTTTATGAAGGTCTAGACCAATAAATTTCAGATGAATCCTAATTTCTTTCTTCTAGAATCATCATTTTAACTGTGTAAAAAACTTAAAATGAAAAGCTTTGCAACCTTTTTCACTCAAGCGGACTAAGAATCGCAAAAAAACGATTTTCGAGTTCAATCTCGGCAGATTTATTTTATTCTTTGCAGATTTTTTTTCTTTTTAAGTGATTCACTTCATCTTTGAAAGCATTTCAAAATTTAAGTTTTAGACTTTTTGACCCGAAATAAGATAACTTAAATAATGTTTTGTAATTTGGTATATATTAGTAGTCTTATGTATACTCTAAATAACAGACATATTTGAATCTGCTATTTGCAAAAATCTCTTTATGGCGTGATTAAGAATTCTAATTTTATTCAACAAAACTTTTATTTTAGACTTGTACATAACAAACCGTCATGGAAATATATTTACAATACAATTTTTTTCATACCACGTGATCATGATTACAGAAAAATACAATATGATAATAAATCAGACAAGAAAAAATGCATTTGTTTTCAAACATAAAGCTATATCAAGGACAGATGACCATTGAGATAAATACATCCATGAAAAACTGGTTTTACTCATAAAGATAAGTTGACTGGAGTGATTCAGAACCTCTGAAAAGTCAAAATATTTCAACATGCAAAACTACTGGTAGATTCTAGATAACTTTTTATTCTGGGTCGAAATATCGCTTCTTCGTCGTAGAGGGGAAATATTACCTAGCTTAATACATCAACTTATAATACAGTTCTTTTTTGGACAAGCCGTTCACAACTGGTTGTAACATAGCCCTACTGAATTCTCACCACAACTTTGAATTTGCACAAGTAATAATTATTTCATCATTAAGGAGACAATTCTATCATTTCTACATGCAAATAATTTTGCTAGTAAAACAGATTTACTTCGGCCAAGTATCTTTTCTAAAGATATTTCTTGTTATGTACCGTTACAGTGTCCAAAATGTTACTTAACCATGCACGCTTACTTGTGTTGCTGTTTAGCAATACGTACAGTTTTTATATTTAAGCATTTTGTATGCATCTCAAAATGTTACTTTATTTACAATTTCGTTACTTTTATGATAAATACATTTGCAATACGACGAGCATCTTACATGCTCTAAAACTATTAATTTGAACGCTTAATAGAACGTTAGTCGTTTCTGAGGCACAGTGTGTCTTTAAAGTTATTTCTAAGGTATTAAGATATATGTGCGACAAGTACAAGACCTTATAGGGAAGAAAATAATGATTAATCCTATATATTATCGCCTAAAGATAGCATAGACAGCAAGTAAGTGATGAAATATCCTACTTCTTGACAGCCATTAAGTATTGAAAAAGTATGCTTTCAGTTTAAAGTAATCTTAAATTTCCTTGTGAAAGGGAAGTTAATTGTCATGCGATACATAGCACGTGTTTTATGAGTCAAAACAATTTTGCTAGTCAGAGATTTACACAAAATCACATCGACGAGTCTATTCCTTAATCTCATAAAGATAACACTTAATCGAAGAAAAGTTTATATTCCCCCATTTTATCTACGTGCGTGTTGATACAGTCGGGGTGTTGTCTTCCATATTGCTGTAATTGCGAGTAGAGCGCGGATTGATGTTTCTTCCTTCCCCGGCCCAAGGATCAGACTCTCTGTAAAGACCACCGCGGTTTCGCCTTCTCCTTATCGTTATGACTATCACCGTTCCTATCAAAACGCAAGCGAGCGTAGCCGAAATAGATATGGCCGCAATACCGCCACCAGAAAGGCCTCTCTTCGTTCTGTTGCTGTCTGAATTATACTGAGCTGTGCCAACAGGCGCTTCAGTACTTGGTTGCACCATACCATGCTGTGCCATGAATTTTGGAACCATTACGTCAGCATCTTCCATACTTGTCCAAAGCTCTCCGTCACTACTTATAACGACACTATCGGAATCTATCGTAGTGAAGCCGTCTTTTGGTGCGTCCATGAACGGTGGTCTCTGGACCTTTGGTAGGCCCTGTGCAGAGAGAGCTCCTGTCTTTATACAATAGTTGATACTACATCCCTCATCTACAATCGCCAAATGTTGACTGTAACCTTTAGGACAAGAATGCGGATATGACGTCACTCCTTGTTTTTTCATATACGTCATCATCATACTTGTTCTACCACTACTTTGAAGCAGATCACTTTGCTCTTTCAATGCCAATGGGTTTCCCGCTTTGCAGCTATAAAACCCGGCAAATGGGAGGGAGTATCGATATCCTAACTCATAATCATCGCTTACACAAATTGTAAGAGTATCAAGAAGTTTAAGGGGATAGAACTCAGGCGGGCAACTCATACTTTGTGTAAGTGGATTTGACATTTTTGAGGTAAACAGTCCTCCAAAAAGAAAGCCACTGTTATCTTTAACTTGTCCAGTTGCGGCGCACCAGAAGGCAGAATAGCTAGCATGGGCGGTGTCGGTAACAGTATCGCAGCAATGGAAAAGCAACCAGCAGCTGTGACATGATCTGCGTTGTCGCTGAGAGTTCTTTGCCCCTTGTTTAAGAGGCACTGACTCATAACCATCCGGACAGCTGAAGTCACCGGTCTGTGGATTTTTCTGTGTCATTCCCGCGCAGAGGTTAGTATAGCCACCCCCTGTACAAGACTGATAGACACCACCGAATGTGAAATTTGTTTTAGGTGCAACACACGTGTCATCGTCAACATTGGCCTGGAAACTAAAGTTTGGAGACTCTTCGTTCGTGCAGCCTCTATGCGTGTTGTGCTCGTAATACAGATGCACAGCGTCTTTGACGTAATCGTATACGTCATAAACAATTGACTGTGGTACATCGGGAAGGTTGACGTGCGTGATTTGGTAATATATAGGATCTCCGCTTCTATCAAGGGCCACCATGTCGTTATATATGGAACTTGACCAATTGTTTGCAGTGAAATTATTCGGCCTGAAAATTACATAGATGTTACATTTACTAGATCATTTATTTTGATTCTGAACGTACTTGATAAATGATCGTTTAGTATATTCTACATTCTAATTTACTTTATATATTTTCTGATAATATAATTTCTAATATTCAGTCCGTATCAATTTACGGTAGTACGATGATAAAATCGCGATAACACGTTGGTGAAACCACGATGGTATGTTTGCACGACGATGAAAGCGCACGGACATGTGGAGAAAACTAGATACTAGTGAAAATCGTATTTTTGGATTTTCGCATTTTCACCATCCTGTCAGCGTATTTTCATCATTGTACCATTACGTTTTCACAAACGCGTTTTCACCCTCAATTGGATCGTACATCGTGGGCCAGGGAACATCGGAACTGAACATCGTCATTAATACTGATCTTGTACATATATTTTAAATAAAGGGAAATAACTCTTAATTACTGCACCTGATTTATCTAAACTAAACTGATAATATTTTGTAAAAAGAGTACATACTTGAATACTGGACCGCCAAATGTCATAATCTTTGAGGTTGTTCGTTGTTTGCGGTATTCGTCTATCATTGTTTTCGAAGTTGATTGTGAATAGCCGCCGCCAAAGTCGAATATTCCAAAGAAACTGGCGCTTGCCGATGCTAGGATCTGTTGCTTCTGAGATTCGTATTTCTTTACAAACGTAGCGGTAACTTCGTCTAGCTGATAAAATAAAATTAGTGTTGTTCAGTTTAAATGAATGTATATATACTATGTTATTCATGAGGCGAGGGAGAAGAAAAACTGGAATGTCTACTTAAATCATGGCGATAAAGAAGATGCAGTATACGATTCAAATAATGTTAATGATGATGATGATGATGATTATGCTGCTGCTGCTGCTGCTGATGATGATGATGATGATGATGATGATGACGATGATGATGATGATGATGATGATGATGTTAAGGGTTAATCAAAGGTTTGAGACAAAGACAGGGTTATTTTGACTTCTTATACATGAAGCTTTATAGACATTTACCCCTTCACTGCAATCTTATTTTTATCTTAACGGCATTAACTTGCGGCCTGTTTATGCCGTGTTCTATTTTTCGTGTAGACTCGAATCCCCAAAACATATAAAACACAACAAATGACGACAAAATAATGTGTTATCTAATCATTTTTTTTTTCTAAACCATTTCACCTCGTCAATCGCCACTGAAAAAGACAAATCATTCGCACTAACCTGTCACCGTAGTAAAACAATGTGTACTAAACAGAAGAAACATTGTTTGTTTTAAAAGTCACTTAAAAAGTACTTAATTATGAGTACAAAATCTTTTCAGTACATACTTGAACTAAAGCAGCTCCAACATCTATGCTAGTGATCACGTGGGTTCCAAAGTCTCGTACTAAAAGTTGACTCTCGTAACGGGCGAGATCTGTGCGGTTCAGCGTTATATGAGCGGCTATCGTTCGCAGACGTGCCCGGAACACATCGTTGATCTTGGTATCAGGTTCGAGCTTTGCAGTGTACTGTACATAACGGACCTGGATAGAAATAATTAAAAAACAGTATCATATTAGCTGGCTAGCACAAGCTTAACAAATCTTGAAACCGTTAGTTCGAGCCATTGACATGGTAATAATATGGTGGATTATCATATGTTATAAAATATAAAGATGGAGACAGTTAAAGGTTATTTCCTGAGGGGGGATGTGAAATAGAAAATAGTCACTCGAATAACTTCAACAAGAACTGTCGGAGGACAGTAACGCTCGACTATTCGAAAAGTTGTCACAAGGGTGTTTCATTGAGTATAATAATGCTTACCTATATGAATACATAAAATTTTCCGAAAAGGTACAAACCCTTCAGAAGTTATGGAGATGCCAGCTTACAAGCAAAAATTTACCTAGAATTTCTAAGTCGAAAAAGGGGCATAATTATGCAAAAAAGCAAATCAGAGTTATGGGATTGTGCCAATCATCTTAGATAATCACAGAGAACAAGTGTGTGAAGTTTCAATCCATTCTCTTCAGTAGTTATGGAGATACCAGCTTACACGCAAAAACTTAACCAAGTATTTCTAAGTCAAAAAAGGGGCATAATTATGCAAAAAGCAAATCAGAGTTATTGGACCTAAGCCGATCATCTAAAATAATCACAGAGAACAAGTGTGTGAAGTTTCAATCCATTCCCTTCAGTAGTTATGGAGATACCAGCTTACACCAAGTATTTCTAAGTCAAAAAAGGGGCATAATTATGCAAAAACAGCCAATCAGAGTTATGGGACTTGTGCCAATCATCTTAGATAATCACAGAGAACAAGTGTGTGAAGTTTCAATCCATTCCCTTAAGTAGTTATTGCGATACCAGCTTACATGCAAAAACTTAACCACAGCGACGCCGACGCCGACGCCAACGCCGACAAATGGGTGACTGCATTAGCTCGATTATTCTTCGAAAAGTCGAGCTAAAAATTAATGCATCTGCTATCTGCGTTAAATCAACCGCGACCCCAAGTATGTGGTTAATCAGTCGCCTCCCTTTATTTAAGTATCGCACTCGCAAAAGATAAGAGCTTAAGTTTACCACATTACCACGCAAATATAGGAAATGTCATAGAAGGGGGTATTACTCAAATGTGAAGCAACTAAATTTATCATAAAAGCAAGGATAATAATTTCAAAAGAACGGATATAAATCGAAAAGAGTAATAGAATTCAATGATGAATCCTTTCAATATAATAAGGAACTCCGAGAAATTTAATATAGACAAAGTAAACATTTGTGCCGCGTCATGTGAAAAGATGACTTCAGTCTTTGCCCTACTTTTTCGCCGAATGACAAGTTCTTTTTTCTTTTTTTAAAATCTTTTCTTTGTCCCATAAATTGTTTAAACTAATCTTACATCTATAAACGTCTGTTTACTCCCTATGCCAATACTAACTGATTATCTTTTGGAGAGCGTACCAATTATATAAATAGATAATGGAAAATACGTGGGAAATTTTAGTGAACTCGAAATGGAAAAAAAACGGGAATTTTTATTGAAATGCCAACAAGTGCTTAATTAGGTCGAACATTTTTTTTCGACAACGGTTTGCATAATCATGAAAACTGTTAAAAGAATATAATAAAGGTATGTCATCTAAGCGTCCATAATATACAATAAAATCTGTATACATGTATACCGCATTTTTTTTTTTTTTATTTTTTTTTTTTTTTTTTTTTTTTTTTTTTTTTGTTTTTTCCTCAATTTCAGACATTTGAAAATATGGAGATGTGATCATTTCAGACAGGTAGGTATTGTTGCAGACAAATACTAAAAGTCAATTAAATTGTAAAAAAGTGGCATTAAGCACAATATTTTCTTTGCATAGCCATCTTTCGGAGGTGGCAACCCGTTTAGTCAATGGTCATGCGCGTAACATAGGAAAATAATTTGTGCAATATATTGCACGGGCATATATTGCACGGGAAACATGGTTAGTAAACGGACCAATATAGTTTATGTTAGAAATGCCTTTGCAGAGATATTTTAAACCTCATTTTAAAAAAAATCCATGTTGTTGTTTTTTTTTGATATTCGTGAGAATAACATTCGTGAGAATGACGACCTGGCTACGGATATACACAGTATTCCGAACATAATTAATGCTGTACGCCTCCAAATGAACCAAAATATTTCAAGAAAATTAGACTTGAGAAAAACGTTTTGTGATTAATGATCGATTTCGCAGTATTTTCACCGTATTTGTACTGCGTTACTAACACACTTAGGGCTATTTTGACATATTTTGACCTCTTTTTGGTAATTTTCATGAGTTGTAAGTGATGTTTGCAACGTGAATTTTTTTTCACTTCACAATATTTTTAATACATTTTTAATTCATGAAATTTAGCATGATTCTGCAGGCGTGCTGCTTTAAGATGGAGTTAAATAATATATACCAAAAAGGCGGATTAATTTTTCTTCCATTTAATTTAACTTAACGTATTTACTAGGGTATACAAGAAAGGTTTTTAAGAAAAATTTCCCATTTAAACAATTTTAGGTTTCGGATTACTGTATTTGTCTGTACCCCATATTTTCTTGCATATAAGTACGGCATACGTTTTAGTTATGCGTTAAATGATTCATATTTTACAAGTGTATACATATTTTACCAGTGTATACATGTACATGTATTTGGTAATACATAGCGACGATAAAAAGCATAACTTATTTCTCATTTTCACAAGTATTTTGGTTATTGGGACTTTTTTGTGTCTGCTCGGAAGAATGCCTTAACGGATATTAAATTCCCATTATGATATAGAAAATTATCTTTCCTATATTTTTACAGCTTCAAACATGTCAAAGAAAATTGTATACTCATTTGCCACATACGAGATAAACTTACGTTTAACTTCTTTTGCTCTGTTGACAATGATGTATAGTTACAATGAATGAGTATTTTGTATGGAAGTTAAATACTATTCCTTTACGACACATTACTGCACATTCAATGCAACTTTCTTCGGTTGTTAGACATCAAATATGCTCTAGATTCAATATATAAACATTTTTAAACACGTATTTGACATTTCAAAAGAAACTTTTAATATGGATTTCGGAAGCATAACGTGCCTTTAACAGATCCTACGCTACCTAAAAAGTCTTAAGGTTCAGAAATTATTAAGCCCCAGTGTCCTGATGTAATGTTTTTACACCAAATCCGTTAATGGATCATTTGCTTCTGCAGTAACGGAGTATAATTTCTGATTAACGGAGTATTTTCTGATTATATATTTGATACTCACCAACACCATCCTGAAGTGTGCTGTTATGTATGATTCTATCAACAAAATTATAAATGATATTTCAGACATCCCATTATGGATAAAATTCACTTTTAAACTTTAGGACCATCAAACCCTCTAAATGGAATAAATTATCCTAATTCTATTCAGTAATTAAACTTAAGAGTACAGTTTGTAAAATCAATGCTTATGACAAAAAGTATAATAATTAAGAAAACAAATATATTGCTTTTACGAACCTGAACTCTGGTTGTCATGGATTTATCAAAATGTTGCGTGGATTTCACGCTCTCATATTCGTCGGAAAACTTCCCGCTGATACCCACGTGAGAGAAGTGAAGCCCGGCGTGCACATTGACCCCGCGGGATAAGGTACTTGTGAAGTTATCCCAATGTGTAATCAATTCCGCATACGTTTCTACTTTACTGCTTTTTATCGGGATGGTGAAAATTCCGTCGGGAATAAGAAACTTGCCGTCTTCTGTCGTTCTGCATTGCGAATAGTTATAGTTTGTTAGTATGCCCATTTCTCGATTCCGTAGATTATCCCACCCACCGCCGGGTAGCACCTCAAACCGCAAGACTCGATCACTCTTTTTTGAAGTACATCTTCGTGGATCACCGACGGGATATTCATTATTGTTTCCCGACGACGGCGCCGCCGTTATACTATCATCTCCTAAAACTAAGTGCACTGCAATGGCTAAATGAAACACAACAGCTACACTGTTCATTTTTCTCTTATTTCGTTTCACACATTTAACATTCTACACTAGTACTCGAGTGTTGCAATTAGCTATGTGGATACACTATATATACTAATGGGAGGAAAACCCGGAGTAAGAAAAAAACAACCCGGAAGATAATAAATACAGTTGCGTACGGAAGAAAATTGGTACTTATCTATCATGTCATGTGAATAAATGTAAGAAAAGGGGGATTTTGTGGGTTACATTTATCCATTTTTTATTCGCTTTGATAAAGTTATATACATAAATATAAATTTACAGCAAAAAAAACCATTGTTGGGTAGGTTCGAAATGTCAAAAGGCACGTGATTCGGTTTAAATGTTTATTGTTATAAATTGTGCATCGTCAGCGTTGATCCGGGCTACCGTTAAACGCATTATCCCGCTTCTTTTCTACATTTGGATTTTTTTTACTGTATATCAAGATTCTTTTTTAGTGAACAAATTACGCGTAAACGTAAGAAATGCCTTAAAGAAGCAAACCTCCAAACTGTGCAAACATTTATGAAAATCTGTTGTTTGTTGTTGTTTTTTGTTGTTGTTTTTTTTTAAGATTTAAGTATATTATTAAGTATATACATTATTAGTTTTAAAGATTTTTCACAGGTTATATGGTCCTATGTGAACGGCTGTTTGGATATATAACCCGAGCTGTAAGGCCGATTATAAACGGTCATATAAACTTTATATTTATAACGAATTTATAATACCGCAAACTTCCTTTGATTTAGAAAAAAAGTGAGATTTCTTAGAAAATTGACAGCAGCGGTGTAAATACTATATAAACGTCACAATTATCCAATGAAAAGTGACTTTACAAACGTGCAGTATTATAATATGTCATTAAACTAGCTTTTTAAGGCATTTAGCAATTCGCTATATTGGCTGATTTGTGCGTTGTTATATTTTCGCACGTACTGGCGTCCCGTAGAGCGAAAATACCACATGGCACAAATCAGCCACCATACATGTTATTCAGTACCAGTACGGGATAGAAACTTGATTAATGGAGATAAAAATATTTTCAAATATGTGATACTTTGTATTAACCCTTGGATTATGAATACTTAATCCTTTAATATTGATAAATTTATCTTAAGTTTGCGGTTTTGAAACATTACTGCTCGGGCATGCCGTTTTGCATATGATAAGATATTCTTATCTAATTAATTATTCAGTTAAATAACGTCGTAATAAACCATAATTATAAAAACACATATGGAATATATCTTAAGTCTATCAAATCTTCTTTAAACTAATAACTTCAATGCTATTGTCGTATATCTAACGAATAGGAGCTTTAACAGCGAAACCCATTTAACAGCGTTTAATTTTTCCCTTCAGTTTGACATTGCCCTACGCTGCAAATCGCGGCGAATTGTCGTTAAAAAACAAGGTTTATTGTAAACAAAGGTGAAATTGTAAGATGTACAACAATTTCGGTATTAAAATAAAGTGTTGCGAGTATAGATCATCTGACTCCTACTGTAGAGGTCGTGAGTTCGAGACCCATCATGAGCTCGAGTCCCATCAGGAATATTATGCAGATTTTATTCATGGTGAAGGTGCAATTTGAGTTTAAAACAATTTGACAGAACCCGTTTGCCTAGACTTCAAAAATTTAAAAACTATGTATAAATCTTGTAAATGAGGTGAGGGAAAACCAAGATTAAATAATTGATTACTTTTTAAATCCTTAAACCGTAACCTTGATCTGTAACCCACAAGTAATATTTGCGCATCTAAATAGAGGGCGCATTTTATCTCCTGCCAATCAAATCACGCGTTCAATGGATTAGAGATAACATCAAAATCTGGTAACAAAAACATCTAATCGCGTGATCAAATCAGTTTTTGTCGTTATGAAAATATGTTTTAATATATTAATATATGTATCTAAATATCTTCCTGTATTATAAATTCGTCATAAAGAGTCATGACATTTTATATGGCGGTATATAAACGTCTGTTTGCAATATAACCATCGCCTAGCGGCTCGGGTTATATATACAAACAACCGTTTATAATTATAGGGTCATATAACCTGTCAAGAATCTTTATAACTAATAATATAAACGTTACGACTAACCAATTAAAAGTGGCGTTACAAACGTGCAGTATTATTAAGTATGTATAATACATGCCAAGGGACGTAAACTACATTTTTTGAATGATCTGCCCTTGACATAAGCAAATTATTTCTAATTCAATATTGAAATCGAGCTCGGTTACCCGCAAATTTTGTGTTTTCACAAAGTATTAGTTATAAAAAAAAATTTACAGGTTATATGGCCCTATATAAACGATTGTTTGAAAATATAAGTGCCGCTAGGCGAGGGTTATATCGCAAAAAAAACGTTTTTATACGGCCATATAACCTGTCAGAAATATTCATAACGACTTTATAATACAGCAAGCATCATTTTTAAGAGGAAAAAGTATGAATTCTTCATAAGTGAAAACTATATAAAGCTCACGATTATCCAATGAAAAGCAACGTTACAAATTTATAATGTTTCATATTGTTGCTTTATACCGAATTTATTTTAGTTCGATTGTGTAGGAAGCTTATAGCTTATAGACACACTCTCGAATCCGTTTCTGGAACCAACCAGTACTGACAGCAAAGAGTGTAAACAACGGCTCGTTCCTGACAGGGTTTGAACCCACGCGAATAGCGAACCTTAGATTACTACACCGAAACCTTAACCTCTCGACCATGCCGCCACCCATACAGTTGTGTTAAACCTTTCAAGAACAAAACAGCATGGGCCTTTAAAGAATTTTATTTCTGACTTTGTAATGATGTTTTTAACCGTTTCTGGAATGATACAAGGAAAGTAGGAAAGTAAAAGCTTATTTCGGTTTCTGTATAAGACAATGTAGGCCGTGTCGTCTTACAACATTTATAGATTCTCCTATCGTATTTCCGGACGTTTAAGTGTTCTTATGTGAATATAATATCAAATATTTATATAAGTACAGTCATCGTCAATGCATTACTTAGTCAGCGTACAATCTGAAAGTTCTCGTCTGTTTGCTTGGTTGCTGTTGTTGCTGCTGCTGCTGCTTAAACCACTCTTTTGTGTTCTTCCTGAAACTAACCAATACTGGTGTCGTATTGTCATGACAACATCAGTATCAGTAGTGACTAATGTTTATGCACTGAGAAGCCCTCACTGAGTAATGTTCATGAAGTGAATAATTACGAAAGACTGGTGGAGACATTTCAAATTCGTGAATTCCGGGATTCATCTTCGTGAATTCACGATTTTAACTTCACTATTACACGATTTCAATTTCACGAATTCACGATTTAAACTTCAAGAATTCAGCTTCATAAATTCGTGTTTAGAATTTAACAATTTCAACTTCACGAATTCAAGATTTCATCCTCACAGATTCATGACTTCACCTTCACGAAGTACAAAATATATAAAGGATATTGAATGAGTGTAAGTTCAATACTGAATTTATTGCACGAGTTGAATAAAATAATATTATGCGAGCGAGCCTTTGGCGAGCATAATATTATTTTATTCAACGAGTGCAATAAATTCAGTAATGAACTTACACGAGTTTAATATTCTTTTTATCACATACCAAAAATAAAGACCGTTTAAAGTGAAATAAGAGTCATTTTTTAATCAACGCGCCTACAGTATAACGCTAACATTTAGCGCGTCTTTACACTTTGTTTGTATAACGCTAATGACGTCACGTCAAAATATATGCACGGCCGTGCAATACCATATTTACGGAGTCGCAAAATCGGCATGGGTGTGTGATAAAAATTCATTAATTTCAATTTCTCATGAAGTGAGTGGTGCTCAGTGATTAATGTCTTATAGTTATATAGTGCTCAGTGATTATTGTCCATGTAGTGATATAGTGCCTTGTTAGTAACGCCCATGTAGTGATATAGTGCTCAGTGAGTAATGTCCATGTAGTGATATAGCTCTCACTGAGTAATGTCCATGTAGTGATATAGTGCTCAGTGAGTAATGTCCATGTAGTGATATAGTGGTCAGTGATTATTGTCCATGTAGTGATATAGTGCCTTGTTAGTAACGTCCATGTAGTGATATAGTGCTCAGTGAGTAATGTCCATGTAGTGATATAGTGCTCAGTGAGTAATGTCCATGTAGTGATATAGTGCTCAGTGAGTAATGTCAATGTAGTAATATAGTGCTCAGTGAGTAATATCCATGTAGTGATATAGTGCTCAGTGAGTAATGTCCATGTAGTGATATATTGCTCTGTGGCTAATGACTATGTAGTGCTCAGTGAGTAATGTTCATGTAGTTATATAGATCTCAGTGAGTAATGAATGTCCATGTAGTGATATAGTGCTCAGTGAGTAATGTCCATGTAATGATATAGTGCTCTGTGAGTAATGTTCATGTAGTGATAAAGTGCTCAGTGAGAAATGACCATGAAGTGATATAGTGCTTAGTGAAAATGTCCATGTAGTAATATAGTGCTCTGTGAGTAATGTCCATGTAGTGATATAGTGCTCAGTGAGTAATGTTCATGTAGTGATATAGATCTCAGTGAGTAATGTCAATGTAGTGATATAGTGCTCAGTGAAAATGTCCATGTAGTGATATATTGCTCAGTGAGTAATGTCCATGTAGTGATATAGTGCTCAGTGAGTAATGTCCATGTAGTGATATAGTGCTCAGAGAGTTATGTCCATGTAGTGATATAGTGCCCAGTGAGTAATGTCCATGTAGTGATATATTGCTCAGTGAGTTATGTTTATGTAGTGATATAGTGTCAGTGAGTAATGTTTATGTAGTTATATAGTGCTCAGTGAGTAATGTCCATGTAGTTATATATTGCCCAGTGAGTAATGTCCATGTAGTTATATAGTGCTCAGTGAGTAATGTCCATGTAGTTATATAGGGCTCAGTGAGTAATGTCCATGTAGTTATATAGTGCTCAGTGAGTAATGTCCATGTAGTTATATATTGCCAAATGAGTAATGTCCATGTAGTTATATAGTGCTCAGTGAGTAATGTCCATGTAGTTATATAGTGCTCAGTGAGTAATGTCCA